GTGCAGTGTTTCCTTAGCCTTCTGCCTGAGCACCGCATCACCTACTTAGACACCTTAGCCGCTGCTGCAGGGCCGCGTAGACAGCTGTTTCTTACGTGTAGTATTGCTGCTGCTGCTACTGCTGCTGATGTTGTGATAGGGTGGCTGCATGTGTCTCGCGGACGGAGGCGTTGTGTGCGTGGATGAGTTTGATAAGATGCAAGAGCGAGATGTGGTGGCGATGCATGAGGCTATGGAGCAGCAGACGATATCTATTTCTAAGGCAGGGATCAACACAGTATTGAACTCCAGGTAGGTTTCTGCATGCGCTTACAGCACTGCAGCCCCGTCAGATTCAGCTTTCCCGCCTGTTCTTCCGCTTGCGCTGCTGAAGCTGCAAGGAAGCTACTAACTCTTTTATGCGGCCACGCTGCAGTGGCTAGGACAACGCTGCAGTGTATCGACAGCAAGACGAACAGAAACACCACAAACCTCCACGCTAAAGGCGCCTCGGCGGCCTGGTATTACTGTGTTGCCTCGCTGCTGCTCCTGCTGCTGCTGCTGCTGCTGCTTAGGTGCGCTGTTCTTGCTGCGGCAAATCCGTCTTTCGGCAGCTTCGATGATGCACAAGACACGACGGAGCAGCACGAATTCAAAGCTACAATTCTATCAAGGTAGGTGAACTGAGTTGAATATAAATTGAGGGGAGGAAACAGACGGGCAGCAAGTGATGGAGAGGCGACGTGTGTTAGATACGCACACGAGGAAAGATAAGGATAGAGGTTAGAGGATATATATCAAAGAGGCAACAGGAATATATATATATATATATATATATATATATATATATATATATATTGAACAGATAGAGAGATACATATATACAAGTACAGAAGGAGACAAACATAGAAACAAAAAAAAAGAGAACTTCTGCGCAGCAGGCAGATGGATTAGAAGATGAATCGCCACTCATATTACTACAAGCAGGCAGAAACAGGCGAAGAGACAAAAGGTTGAGCTGACGGCAGAGAGAGAGGCCAATCAGCTGCTTAGAAGCTCCGCAGGCAGCGGCACCAAAGGGGAGCAGCAGCTG